GATACAAAGTGGCGGGACCTCCTGCCACCTTTGGAGGGTGAGCAACCTCGGTGGGCCAGCCTGTATTCCACCTTGGTCCTGAGGCCCATCGGGGACATCAGTTGGCGGCTCCTTCACGGAGCTGTGAGCACGGGCGTGTTTCTGACACGGTTTACCCCCATCCCGGACACTTGCCCTTTCTGTAATGTGAGGGAAACCCTGGCGCACGTATATTTAGAGTGTGCCAGATTGCAGCCCCTTTTCCGGCTCCTCACAAATATTCTATTTCACTTCTGGCTTCATTTCTCCCCTCACCTTTTTATCTATACACTTCCCATCCGTGGCCCCACAAAGTCGCGGGATCTTCTGGTCAACCTCCTCCTAGCCTTGGCTAAAACAGTAATTTATAAAACCAGAGAGAGGAGGTTGGCCCATGAAACGTCCTGCGATTGTGGGGCCTTCTTCCGATCCTCAGTACATTCATGTATCCGGGCGGAGTTCCTCTGGGTGGCGTCCACCGACTCCCTTGACGCTTTCGAGGAGCGGTGGGCGGGGTTCTGTGCTCGGTGACCCCGTCCGGTTCCCTCCATCTGACCCTTTGATTGAGGGGAAGAGCTAGAGATGCCAGCCCCAGCCGTTGCTGCTGTGGATACCATCATTCCTGTCATCTAGGAGGGGTCCTATAATACATGGGTGTCTACCCCCCCCACCCCTAAACCACCCACCCTGCAGCCGTGTCCATCTTACCGGGCACTCTCAGGAGAGGGAGTATCGGTGACACTGGGTGCGGCACTAGGTAACTCAAGGGGGTGGAAGACCACGAGTGTTGAGGAAGCCCCCCCGCTCTAGGCCACCAGGTAACTCAGGAGGGTGGAAGACCACGAGTGTCGAGGAAGCCCCCCCACTCTGGGCCCAGGCTAGCCTGAACACTTCTTCCTCCTGAAAGCTGCTGTGTTATACCTTCTGTTTGCGTTGTTTTGTTGCATAGTTGTTTTGTTTCCTTTGGTAATTTTGTAAGTGTTACCAATAAATTTCTTTTCTGTTTCAAAAAAAAAAAAAAAAAAACCTTCCCTGTTGGGAAACGGAATGTCCTTTGCTTGCTCCTCAGCTATCTGCTTTCTATTCTTTTCTAAAGCCCCCTGGCCTGGATTTTTCTTACTTTTTGAATCTGCCTTAGTTCCCCCCTCCGACCGGGCCAGACGCTTTTTGTTTTAGTTTGATTTTTTGTTATTTTTTTCTTTTTGCCATTTACGTGCTGGTCAGCCTCCAGCTTGCTGCCAGCACCCCCCCCCCACACACACACCTGCTTTCAGGCGCAGCTATTTGCCTCAGCTGAGCCCCCTGGAGGAGGGGGGCGAAGATTGCCGATTTTGCTATCCGGAGAGGGGAGTGGAAACCCCCAGACCCAGCCGTTTTGCTGGCAGCTCGGATTTTACTTCTTATCTTTACAACATTCTCAGCATGCCGGAAGCCTTGGAACATAGCCAACACAGCTGGAGAAGAAGATTTCAGAAGACAGGAGAAATAACCTAGGGAAGCTACAAATCATCGTGAAGGGGGCTGTAAGACTGAGTATTTTTCAGAATTATACTCTTGTGGGGGGGAGTTTGACTGCGGTTTACTTGCGTTTGTGGTGGCACAGGGGGTGTGGTGTGGAGCCCCCCCCGATCCATCGGTGCCCACCCCCCCCACCATTACTACAACTGTTACGGCCCCCCGCCATCCGTCCCTGCTGGCAACCTGCCATTTCCCTTCGGATCCAGCTGTTCGCTTTGAACTTTGCCTTTCGGACCGGACATAACAGCCAACCAAACGAGACTCTTTGGACAAACGTGCATGGGTCTGCACACCACCCCCTCCTCCAGATTGCTTATCCCACAGCTTGCCCCGATTTTGTTTCCCCCCCCCCCCCCCGCCTGCAGCCCAGCAGGGAGGAGCGGTTACTCTGCTTCCCCCTCCCTCCTCCTCCTTCCGGTGTCTCCCCATCTCTCCCTGCTCACAATGGCGGGGAATGAGAGGGGCGAGGCCCCTTTAACAAAATCAGTTGTCCCTCCCCCACCTCTCCCCCTGCCCAACCCCCAAGGTTCCCCCCCCCACTATTGTTAAGATACTTGCCACCCCCTGCTGGGGCACCGGCAGCAGGAGGCACCGGGGTGATTGCTGCTGCTGCTGCGCCCACCGCCCCCCCCCAGATTCTAGGAAATCCCCCCAGCTGGCCGGAAGGGCCAGGGCGGGAAGAAAGGAAAGGGCCCCGCTAAAACCACTAGGCCCTCCATGGCAGGGGCTGCCCCCACCGCTGTGGCCTTGTCACTGACCGTGGCGCCCCTCCCTGCGTTTCCCTCCACCAGCTCTGCGATTGTCCCTCCCCCGGCCCCCAGAACGTATGCCTGGGCCGTGACGGGCTCCCCCCCTGCCTGCCGCCCCGCCCCCCCCGCCTCCGCTACCATCACCAGCGGCCGGGGCCCTTTCCCCGCCTTAACCAGGAGGCACGGTGTCCGTTGTCTCCTGGTGCCCGCCTCGCACCATGTGGAGACATACGTGCAGGCGCTGGCGAAGGTGGTAGGACCCACGGCTATTGTGGCGGCCTCCAAGATGTATGGGAAGGTCGTTTTTTTCTTAGCTTCGGAGGCTGCCGCCCAGGAGGCGGTGGAGAGGGGCCTGGTGGTGGGGGTGTTTGTCCCCCTAGAGCCGCTAGAAGATCTGGGTGTTCACCTCATCCTCACCTCCCTTCCTCCCTTCTTACCCAGTGTTGCCCTGTTACCTGCTCTCTCCACCCTGGGGAAACTTGTCTCTGTCATCAGCCCTCTCCCATTGGGCTGCAAGGACCCCATCCTCCGTCACGTCCTTTCGTTCCGCCGGAAAGTGCAGCTTCTACCGCCGGCGGCGGCGTGTGACGGAGAGGCGCTCAAGGGGTCCTTCCTAGTCCCTTACCAAGGAGCCCGCTATCGGGTCTTTTATTCCACCAGAGAGGCCTGGTGCTACCTCTGCCGCTCAGCGGGGCATGTCTGCAGAAACTGCCCTTTGGCCCAGGGGGGAGGGGCACTCGAGACCCGGCAGGACATTGGCCCCGTCGTTGCCGACGCCCCTGGCCGCCCGGCACCTGAAACCAACCCTCCTCCTACTTGACTCGCCGCTGCTTCCGTCCGGGCCCAAGAAACACCTTCCCTACAACACCCAGGCGAGCAAGGGAGTCCCACCCTTGCTATTACCAACCCGGCAGAGCCTATGGAGAAGGGTGTGGCCAAGATATTACCGGGTATAGGAGAGCGCCCGCCCCAAGGATAACCCCCCACCCCTCATGCTGCCTCACCATCACCCCCCCCCGAACCATCGCCTCCGTCCCCCGACATGACCCCTGCTAACCAACCCCCAGACGACGCTATGGAGGGCTGGACCCTAGTCCAGGGGAAGCGAGGCAAGCGGAAGGCTCGAGCTCCGCTGCACCCATCCGATGTGGAAGCCCCCCGGAAGACCAGGAAGGGAAGCATTGATATTGAGCCTTCTGCTACAGCCATGAGTGAGATCCATCTGCTGGTGTCGGGAGGGGAAGACAGACTGGCATTGGAGGGCAGAATCTCCCCTCCACGAGAGACCCTCCCCTCCGAGACCCCTGAGGAAGCTCCTTCTGCCCGGATACTACCCCAACCCCCCCGCGAACCCCGAGGCGACCGTTGAGGCAGGCTTTAGAGGAGAGACCCCCGGGGTAGCAGGACTTGGCCTCTCCTCCGTGTATGCGGAGATTGAGGCCCTAGATTTGACCCCGGTGAAGGGTGTGAAGCGTGAGTGTGTATAAATAATTCCATGGTGCGATTTGAAAACTGACCGGCTGCAGTTCATGTAGCCGGCTTGCAGTGAAAGGGTGAGGGGTTTGTTAGGATCGGCAGGGTAGGGGCCCAATGGAAAGGTCCGGCGGGCCTGGGGTAGAGGATGGGCGGGGTGCACCCTTGCGCAAGACTCGGTTAACATAAGCCCGAGCAGCGGGGGTCAAGGCGGCCTTCACCTCCTGAAGTACGCGCCGGGGGGTACGAGGGCTGGAGAGAAAAAAAAAACCTTCCCTGTTACCTTACCCAGGGAAAAGGGACCTACTTAACCTTGGGCTAATATATCTGCCTTCTGTTACTCTCTTGTAGTCATCTGGCCCGCTCTTGTCACATATTTCTTTTGCCAAGCAAAAGTGATTGAGAGCAAAACAAGATTAATTGTTTTGGAAGAAGATTCCTGATCAGCTCTAGTAATTAGATGTCTGCTGACCCCCATTTGCTCCAGCAATTAATTTCTCCTGTGCACAACTGTAGGCTGGGTTTAAAAAGAAATCAAGCCCCTGACATCCTATTTCTAAGCTTAGTGTGGATGGTTGTTTTTCCTCCTTTATGTACACATACTAGTTTGCTATTGGAGGGTTGCCTGTGAGGTCTGAGCTGCTGATACTCAGATTTTAATCAGCAATAAACAAGAGATAATTTAAACACTGGTGTGGGGAAGAAGTGTTTATAATGACTTAGCAGCCTGACACGCCGGACCAATTTTGCGGGTAGCAATTCCTGAAGCAGTGTGGCCTAGCAGATAGGGTGTCAGCCTGGGAACCAGAAGATATGGGTTCTATTTACAACTGTCCCATTGACCTGATCTATGACCTAGGGTGAATCACTTCTCCATTCCTCTCCCAACCCTTGTCTATTTAGTCTGTGGAAGTCCTCTGAGGCAAGTATTCTCTCACTGTGTTTGTACAGTGTCTTGCACTACAGTGATCTGACATTTCAAGTCAAATCCAGTGGACAAATTTCTTTACAAGTCTTCACCCATACACAGGTATTTCCTCTGCTCCTATTGAAGCCAATGATAAAATTACACTGGTAATGTTTAAAGGAAAAAAAATCAACCCCTCATCATGTGTGGAATGGTGTGGCTACAGGATCAGGGCTCTAATGACACAAAGGACAAGAAGTGAAAGTTGAACTTCACTGTGGTTGTTTATAATAAATAACAAGAGCAGACATCAAGGAAGGGAATCACAGAAGTGCTAAGACCCAAAACCATTTATTGAAATAAAAAGAATGTAACGTTAATGCAAAACCAAGGCTGATCACACAGAAAGGATGTTATTTTATGTTAGGTTTCTGACAACAGGTGGCCATAAAAAACGGTTACTTACTTTCTCGTAACTGTTGTTCTTCGAGATGTGTTGTTCAAGTCCATTCCACATTAGGTGTGCGTGTGCACGAGTGTCGGAAACTTTTTCCCTTAGCGGCTCCCGTTGGGCCGGCGGGGCCCCCCTGAGCGGCGCCACTGCACCATGCACATATACCCCTACCAGCCTGACCCCCTCCAGTTCCTTCTTGCTGGCGACTCCGACAGAGGGGTAGGAGGGTGGGTGGTGGAATGGACGTGAACAACACATCTCGAAGAACAACAGGAGAAAGCAAGTAACCATTTTTTTCTTCTTCGAGTGCTTGTTCACGTCCGTTCCACATTAGGTGAATCACAAGCTTACCTCTGGAGGAGGGTAGGAGTCATGGAACAACTGCTTGGAGGACCGCTCTGCCAACCACTGTGTCCTCTCTGGTCTGCTGGTTGACCCGTGGGTCGTGAAGGTGTGCACCAAGAACTAGGTGGCTGCTCTGCAGATTTCCTGGATTGGGACCTGTGCCAGGAACACTGTGGAAGTCACTTGCACCCTGGTTGAGTGGGCCATGACCGCCGGGGCCGGAACACCTGCGAACTCATAGCATGCCCGGATGCAGCTTGTAATCCAAAACGAAATCCGCTGCGCTGACACTGGGAGGCCTTTCATTCTCTTGGCTACAGCCACAAACAGCTGCGTGGATTTGCGAAAGGGCTTGATGCGCTCCAAATAGAACGCCAGCGCTCGACGCACATCCAGAGTGTGCAGGCTGCAGTGACTCAGGTCTGTATGGGGTTTTGGGAAGAACATCGGCAGACAAATGTACTGGCCCAAATGGAATTGGGAGACCACCTTAGGGAGGAACTTGGGGTGTGGCCGGAGCTACACCTTGTCCTTGTGAAATACTGTATACGGTGGCTCAGAGGTGAGGGCTCAGAGGTGAGGGACGCCCTTCTGGCCGAGGTAATGGCAACCAGGAAAGGTGGAGGAGAGAACAGGAAGCAAGGGGCCTGAAAGGGGGTCCCATGAGTTTAGAGAGGACCAGGTTAAGGTTCCATGGAGGGACGGGGGCGGGGAGTATGGAAACACCCTCTCCAACCCTTTAAGGAACTGTCCCACCACTGGGTGGGAAAACACTGAGTCCCCTGAGAACCCCGAATGGAAGGCGGAGATGGCTGGCCAGGTGTACTCTGTGTGAGGATGGGGCTAGCCCTTGCTGCTTGAAGTGCAGGAGGTACTCCAGGCTGGCCTGCACTGGACCTGGCACGGCCGCATCTGTCATGGTTCACACCAACAGGAGAACTTTTTCCACTTGGCCATATAGGTCGCCCTGGTAGAGGGCTTTCTACTGCCAAGCAGAATCTGCTGCACGGGAAGGGAGCACTGGCTTGCCAGGATGTTTAGCCACAGAGCTTCCACGCCATCAGGTACAGTGACTGTAGGCTGGAGTGGAGAAGCCACCCGCCGTCCTGTGCAATGAGGTCCCGGTGTAGGGGCAGGACTACTAGGGCCTCCACCGACAGCTCTAGGAGCGATGTGTACCAGTGCTGGCAGGTCCAGGCTGGGGCAATGAGCATCACCGCCGCCTTGTCCCTGCGCACCTTGAGTAGGGCCTTGTGCACCAAGTGGAGTGGGGGGAAGGCATACATCAAGTCCCCTCTCCACAGGATCACAAACGCGTCTGCAAGTGAGCCCAGGCTGTGGCCCTGGAACAAACAGAACTGTGAGCACTGGGCGTTGGCCCTGGTGGCAAACAGGTCTACCCGGGGAAACCCCCACCTGCGGAAGAGCGAAAGCATGACTTCTGCCCTGAGCATCCACTCGTGCATGCGGTACGACCTGCTGAGGGAGTCCACCAGCTTGTTTTGTACCCCTGGGAGATACGACGCCTCGAGGTGAATTGCATGGGCTATGCAGAGGTCGCAGAGGAGGAGAATCTCGCGACAGAGTGGCGAGGAACGAGCCACACCCTGTTTATTTATATAAAACGTGGCTGTAGTATTGTCTGTCAGAACTATCATGCTGTGACCACTCAGAGTGGCATGAAAGGTCTGGCAGGTGAGATGAACCGACCTGAGCTCCTTCACATTGATATGGAGCGACCGCTCTGCTCCGGACCACAACACTTGCATCATGAGGTCCCCCCAGGTGGGCCCTCCATCCGTGGTCTGATGTGTCCACCACTAGCATCAGGTCTGGTTGTGGGGCGGCAAAGGGGATGCTTTTGCAAACCACAGGCTGGGACTGCCACCACAGCAGGGAGTCCAGCAAGTCCCTTGGGGCTGTCACTACCAAGTCCAGGGGGTCCCTGCCTGGGCGGTACACCTGAGCAAGCCACATCTGCAGAGTCCTGAGTCTCAGTCTGGCATGCCTGACCACGTGCGTGCATGCCACCATGTAACCGAGCAGCCGCAGGCAGCACCTGGCCTTTGTCGTTGGAAACTGGTGCAGGGAGGCCATCGTTTGCTGGATAGCCTGGAATTGGGACACTGGAAGGCTTGCCCTGGCCTGCGTCCAGAACCACCCCTATTAATTCCACTTTCTGTGTGGGTACGAGCGTGTACTTGGGGACGCTGACCAGGAGCCCCAGCTTGTGGAACAATCTCAGGGCCACCTCCACTTGGCCTCGCACTTCCACCTCGGGTCGGCCTGCCAGGAGCCAGTCGTCGAGGTACTGGTACACCCAGATTCTCTGCCTCCATAAGAAGGCTGCCACCACCGCCATGCACTTCATGAACACCAGTGGGGCCGTGGCTAGACCGAACAGGAGAACCGCAAACTGGTAATGTTCTTGGCCCACAGTGAAGTGTAGGAACCACTGATGTGCTGGGTGAATGGCGATATGAAAGTACGCATCCTTCAAGTCAAGGGCAGCATACCAGTCCCCCGGATCCAGGGAAGGGATGATGGTGCCCAGAGAGATCACGCGGAACCGGGCCTTGACCAGGAAATTGTTGAGCCTGCGCAGGTCTAGGATGCGGAGAAGGCCCCCTTTGGCCTTGGGGAATGAGGAAGTACCGGGAGTAGAATCCCTTTCCCCTCAGGCTGTGCGGCACCGCCTCTACCGCCCCCGCCTCTAGCAGCGAGTGGACTTCCTTCTCTAGGAGATGTTTGTGAGAGGGGTCCCTGAAGAGGGACGGGGAAGGGGGATGGGAGGAGGGGGGAGGGAGGCAAACTGCATAGAGTACCCGTTCCGCGCCGTGCGTAAGACCCAATGGTCTGATGTAATGGTGGACCATGTATGGGAGAAACGGGACAGGCGGTTCAAGCATTGGCCTGTTAAACCCAGGGTTGTGAGTTCAATCCTTGAGGGGGCCATTTAGGGATCTGGGGCAAAAAAAATGGGGATTGGTCCTGCTTTGAGCAGGGGGTTGGGCTAGATGATCTCCTGAGGTCCCTTCCGACTCTGATAATCTATGGTTCTATGTCTGGTCCGGTACACTGTCCTTGAGCGCACCTTCAAAAGCCTGGCTTAGTGCCCGGCTGGGGTTTGTGCTGGCCTTGGTTCTGGCCCGGCACATTATTGTTACTGTTGTTGCACCATCTCCTGTTATCCCTGCCTCGCCTATGGTAAGGCTCATGCCTATGGCGAGCCTGGTACTGGCGTTGAGGGGGAGGCTGCAGCTGAAAGGGCTTCCTCTGGGTCGCCAGGGCGTGCATACCCAGTGACTTAAGCATAGCTCGCGAGTCCTTAAGGCTGTGCAGCCTCATGTCTATCTGGTTCGAGAAGAGCCCGGACCCCTCAAAGGGGAGGTCCTGGAGTGTATTCTGGACCTCGGGCAGCAGGCCTGACTCCTGGAGCCACAGTGAGCACCCCATGACCACCCCTGACGCGATTGTTCTAGCCACTGAGTCAGCCGAATCCAAGGAGGCCTGGAGAGAGGTCTTGGCTACTGCCTTGCCCTCGTCCACCAGGGACGTGAACTCCTGTTGGGAACTTTATGGGAGGTTGTCCTTCAACTTCCCCACTGCTGCCCAGTAGTTGAAATTGTGCTGGTTGAGGATGGCCTGATGGTTTGCAATCCTCAACTGAAGGCCCCCAGATAAGTACACCTTTCTGCCAAAAAGGTCCAGGCATTTTGCCTCCTTGGCCTTAGGGTCCGGGGCCTGCTGTCCATGGCTCTCCCTTTCGTTTACCGCTGAGACCACTAGGGAGCATGGACTTGGGTGGCAGAACAGGAACTCATAGCCCTTAGATGGGGCAAAGTATTTACGCTCCACTCCTGTAGCCATTGGAGCACTGGAGGCTGGGGTCTGCTATATGGTCTTATACTTGGACTGAATGGTCTTAATGAGCAGGAGCACTATTCTGGATGGACCTTCGGGGTTCAAAATGTCCACCATGGGGTCCTCCTGCTCAACCGTCTCCTTGGCCTGGAACCCCAAGTTCTGGGTGAGCCTGCGCAGCAACTCCTGGTGGGCTCTATGGTCTATCGGTGGAGGACTGGACATATCTGTACCCACCACCGCCTCATCCGGGGATGACGAGGAGGTTAGTTGCTGCTCGACCCCCTCTGGTTGGTCCTCCTGCTCCCCTTCTCCCGTGGGAGGGGCCTCCGGCTCAGGCTGGGGCGGGAATCCATGGGACGGCACCGGACTCGGTGCTGGTCTCTCCGGTTTATCCTGGGGGGATGCTGGGGGCCTCGATACTGTAGCCTCCGGCACCGTCTGGCGTCGGTGCGGGCACCAGGACTGCTGCACCAAGTAACTTGCCCTGGATGGGGCCCCTTGGTGCTCCTGATAGGCCCGGGCGTCCAGAAGGGTCAATGGCGTGGGTTGCCAGCCCACCTGAGGGTCCCTGCTGTCTGGGGCCCGGTGCAGGTACCTATAGCGGCCGGTGTCGGTGCCGGACTACGGCGACGCCGATTGTGAAGGCCACGGTGGTGCCAACGATCTGCTCCGACAGGAGAATGAGCGGCTCCTGGCTGAGCGGGAGCAGTACCGGTATCCCCAAGACCAGGACCAGAATCTGGACCAGGACTGGTGCTGGTGTTCCCTGGACTAGGACCGTCTGTGAGAGTCCTCTGGCGAGGGCCATCTCAACTCCTCCCAGTGCTGGTTTCTGGGTGGTGCCAGAGAGCGGTGTGCCCTTTCTGGTGCTTCCTTGCGTCGACCCACTCCCGGTGCTGCGACCTCCTTCTGGACCGCTGGCAACTGTGAGTCCGTGGAGTCAGAGCTCGACCGGGGCCAACTCCGGGAGCAGTGCTGGGACGGTGTCCTCGAGCGGCACATCATTGCCGGCTTACCCCTCGACGGCACCCGAGGCATGGGTGCTGGAGGGTTCTCCCCATACGGGAAGGGGCTCGCCGCCGACAGCCTGATGAGGTCCTTTGCAGCCTCAAAGGTGCCCGGCCTGGAGGACTGATCTGTTATGCCCTTGAGCCCATTGTCTGCACTGAGCTCACTTAGGTCTGGGCTCGGGGGGGCTTGCGCTGCCGGGACCGCTGGTGTTGGCGCCGGTACTGCGACCTTCCTGCTCTTATCAGCGCTCGGGGCCTTGGGAAGCACCAGCCTCCTGTGAGGGGAACGACTGCGCCTTCCTTTCGGCTGCTCTGGGGGCCGCACGGGGCAGGCTGAGCGGTGCTAAGGCCTAGCCTGGCGCTCTGGGGCTGACAGTTTACGGTGCTTAGCAGGTGCCGGGTCTCCCAACGGTTCCAGGGCACTACACACCAAGGAAGCCTGAGCTGGTGTTGGGCGCTCCGGGCCCAGTGGCTGCAATGCAGCCTCCATCAACAGCTGCTTTAAACAGAAGTCTCTTTCTTTCCTTCTTGGCTTAAATGCCTACACCATTCAGTTTGATGTCCATCCCCCAGGCAACGTAGACACAAATCGTGGGGGTCACTAACTGGCATAGGTTTGCGGCGTGTGGTGCAAGCTTTGAAGCCGTGGGCCTGCGGCCTGGGGTGGGTGCTGGAAGCCTCCAAGCACCTGATCACTTAAGTGTCCACAATAAAGGTATGTTAACTAACTAACTGAAGGCTAAGGGACTGCTCTTCTACGAGAGAGAGAGAGAGAGAGAGGTTGTTCCAACGCAGCCATGGATAGTAAGAAGGAACTGGAGGGGGTCGGGCCGGCAGGGGTATATATGCACGGCACAGTGGTGCCACTCGGGGAGCCCCGCTGGGAGCCGCTAAGGGAAAAAGTTTCCAACACTCATGCACGCGGCACGCACACACCTAATGTGGAATGAACGTGAACAAGCACTCGAAGAAGAATTTCTGATCCTTTGAACACTCTTATTTTTCTCATTCCAAAGGATGTTACTTGAATACCTTGGGAAGATATGTTTTTCTCTGCTAGAGTAGCCTAAAAATATATCTGTGGGCTCACATTATATACATATGTATGGGTTGTACTTCTTTTGTGGGAAAATATCACTATGTTAAGCATTTAAAATTAAGTATCATTATACTTATTTTCTTTATCATATTGCAAACTTCTCTGTACAGTAATCTGACTCTTCCTCTGAACTAGTCAAGTCCTCTACTTTATTTGCAATCTTTTTAGGCACAGATACAACATATGGCTTATATGCCAGTCTGCTCCTAATTTTTTATAGTTAAGTACCTACACATGAGCTCCTGTGGTTTTGAATAATCTTGGTGGTTTAGATCAACTTTCAGACAGAATACATGCTAGGTACTCTGAGAATCAAAACCAACCAATTTGGGCATATCATACAGAAGACAACAAAATGACAATCAGTGATATTTACTACAAATACCTAACGCTCTAATCTGTGGAATTAGTTAATGACAATGTCTCTTATGGATGTTGAAGCCTGACTGTGAAAGGACCCATGTAATATGAGAATATAGGTCAGTTGTTTGCAGACTTAGTGGAATGTGACTTTATAGCGATGTTTGGAAAAGCAGCAGCTCATGTATTCATTCACGGCGGTAACTTGCTGATGAATGCAATTGGTTTCATGGTCAACCATGTCATTAGGGAAATGTGGTTTTTTTTGGAAAAGCAAACTGTAACAAATCAAAAAGCTTTGGCAAACCCAGCAGGAAGAGATTAATTACAATCTGTGCACAGTTAGTGAAATTCTACATCTTGCCTTTTTTACAGTGGTGCGGCTTTTACAGTGGTGCGGCTTCTACACTGTTGAACCTCTGAGCTCAACGACAGAAACAAAAATGTCCTAAATTGTAGAGACCGGTAAAATGTGTTTAACCCCCCCCCTCCCCCCAACCCAACAATCTTAAGTAACAGTAGAACTAAAAATGAGTGTAGTGCAATAGAGAACTCTTTTCATCAAAGTGCAAGATTTATGTCAATGTCACATCTTCAACAGGGTAGTCTTTGTTGATGTTAAAATATAGTTCTGTATTCAATTTAAAAGACTGCTACAGAAGAAAGATATGAGGCTAGATCAAGATATTTCCAAGCTGATTTTCCTTTGTAGCTGGATGTCTCTGCCTTTCTGCAATCGATACCCCTACCAGGGAAACATGAAAGGAAAACAGATAGGGCCCTGACATTTGGAAACTCTCAACTGATGAAGCAAAGAACACAAAAAACTCTCAGCCATTCCAAGATAATCGGACATATGAGACTTTGTGTACATAGCTCAAGCCCGGGCTATTTTTATAAATGCATTTCAGAGGGGTTGTGAAGAATTAAAAGTTGTTTCCCTACTACACATTTGTAGATGGAACATAAATGCTCAGATCGGTAATATCTTTGTGAAAATTAAACTCTACCACGTGAAGTTCCTTCTCACTCAGGGCCAAGCCCTGTCTGTCAAAATCACTATCATGTGAGGTTGATAAAAAAAATAAAAGGAAAGACAAGACAAAAATAGCCAGAAAAAAAATGGCTGCTTGTTTTCCATAACTTAAAACACAACCATTTCTCCATATGGTCTGAATAATCCTGGTTTGGCCAATCTAATTGCCCACTCTTAAAGATAAAAGCCACTGCTGGAGGGATTAGAATGATTTGGAAGCAGTTCTGTGCAGGAATGCAGCTCATCTGAGGAAGCAGGGTTTCTGATGGGCAGGAGGCAGTCTCTGGGGTATCCCACATTAGCGTTGGTCAAAACACAATCATTTTCGGGCTGAGGGAGGACAGAGAGAAAACGTTAGGGGTTCTGGAGGATTTAATGTTTTAAACACTGAAGGTAAAGATGTAAGCTTTACTGATAGGAAGGATGGGCCAGTGGGGAAAGTGTCATCTGGGACCCGGGAGAGACAGATTCAATTTCTAAAAGATCTGCTCTAGAGATTATTTTGGGGCAGTTCTCTGCCCTGGGCTATCTAGAAGGTCAGATGAGATGGTCACAATGGTCCCTTCCGGCCTTGGAATCTAGGAATCAATGAGTCTAGGAATTCCTTGGTCTGCCACAGACTTCTTGTGTGACCTGGGGTAAGTCATTTCCTGTCCCTGTGCCTCACTGGGGTGCAACAAGGAGAATCCATTCTTGGCCCCAGTCCTGGCCCGTCTTGGCTTCTCTCTCACCAAGGGCCAGTCCTTGAACATAGGAAAGAAGCATAAGATGGAGCCACAGCCCAGGACGGGTCGAAATGCCATTTGCTAGCCTAACCACCTCTCCACCACTCATGTAGGGGAGGGGCTCTGCCCCACACCACCCAGCTCTAGTTACTGCTTCTCCATTGGCAGAGTTGTGCCCTACCCTTGCCCACTGCTGGGGCAGGGGAGAGAGCTGTTCAGAACCTGATTGGCTCTCAGCTCCCAAATGGCTCACCAATGGGGAGGCAGTGAGTGGAGCTGGGTGGCAAGAGGCAGAGTGGAGCCTGGGTTGATGAGGAAGCAGCACAGCAGCTCTACTAAAAGGCTGTAAGATTGAACCAGGGATGCAAAGTGGTTTCTGGGGCTGCGACCCCTCCCCGCCATGATCCTTGTCACTTTAAGCACTGTGCCTGGTGCTCAGGTTTGTGCCCCAGAGGCAGAGATAGATTGGGTGGGGGCTGAGCCCCCTCTAACCCGAGCCACCTCTGCACTGCTTCCCAGAACCCCAGGCTGCCATCTCCTCCCGCGGCCTCCCCCATCTCCTCCTCTGCCGGGCCCGCTCCAGAAGGAGGGGGGGGGTTCGGTAAAGACATACCCCTCTTTAGGACATTTCTGGTTGCACCCCGATCTGTACAAGGAGGATAACAGCCTCACGGGGGTGGGGGTGAGGCTACATACAGTGCGAAGGACACTTCTGCACAGCATCCCCCTCTCCAAACTGTCTTGTGCCCCACTCAGTTGCAGCCGAAGAGCTGCGGCACAGGCTGACTACGGGAGAGGAAGGTGGGCAGGGGGCTTGCCTGGGACATGGGAGACCCGGCTTTACTCGCTGCTCTCCCAAGGCTTGCGGTGTGACCCTGCGGAAGCCATTTTAGTCTCTCTGTGCTTCAGTTTGTAAAACAGGGATAACAGCGTTGCCTTGCCTTAAGGGGGCACATGAGATGACTTACACGTAAGAGCGTGAAGCGCCTAGATATTACATGTGAGTAGCACTGTCAGATAACTGGCCTATAGAAGGCTTTGTTCTAAAGGCACTTTGACATCTTTGCTGCAAAAATCAATCCTTCACCTTTGTTTTGCAAGAGCAATAACAATGGGCATATTGCAACAGTCACTCTTTCGGCATTTCTGTCCATAAATACAGAGGTGAGGATTTTGTCACACACTGTGTGCCATGATCCCTAAGGAAGTTTGAGCCAGGAGTGTTCACCTGTTAAGGACAGGAATCCATGCAGCATGTTCTCCATTCTTTTGTTCTTTAATTCATCATAGGAGAAAGGGTTAACAAAGGCCTATTTTTCACCACAATTCACTAGGACACTCTGGCAGGCTAACTTAATGTGTGTGTATTGGCAGACTAAAGGAGAATCCTAGAGTTTCAAAAAGGGCTAGTGATTTCAGGTGCCCATCTTGAGACTCCTTAAAGGGGCCCAACTGTTAGACACTGCTGAACTCCCACCCTCTGAACAGTGGGCCCCTTTCAGGTACCTCCGGTGGGACATCCGAAACATGGGACACCTCACCCCATTAGTCACTTTTCAAAAGGCTTGGCCAATGGGGCAGGTCCTCCTCTGATGTCTGCTTGACGTTGGTGTAAGTCAATGGACTCCAGGGGAGTTGCTCCTGATTTACAATGGTGTAAATGGGAGGAGAGTTAGTCCCCGAATTAATAAGATCGGCACTAGATGAGGCACTGAAACATGTAACAGATTCAGGAAATCTTTAGCTCAATGTAAAAGAGCTGCTCACCTTACGGACATTATCCTGGTGTGACAATGATGTGTGTGTGCTGTAGGAGTGCATGGAGGCATCCCGTTGTCCATGGATATTCACAAAGTGTTCCAAGGCTGAATTTGGACACAGGTACTGGGACACTGAAGGAACAGGGGTCAGCTGCTTTGGAGAAATGACCTGATATGAGGAAGGGGGGAGAAAACCCGAACACAGAGTCATCTCTTCTTGGGATGCTTCTCTATCTCCTATCTCCATGTTGGACAGCCTGTTCAGGTAAAAATGAATGGTGGACACTCCCGTGTTTGGCATCTGAGATGGGCGGAGCTGGGAGCTCAGCTCCTGCTCGACACCATAGATATTGGTCTGTGCTGGGAGGCCCCTGGGTGGCTGACTTTCAGGCCTGTAGCTATAGCCCTGCCACGTGTTACTCCCTAGGGTTGGCTGGTTGGAGGAGGCATGGCTGCACAGGCCGTTCACTAACAAGTGCTGGTTGGGTTTTTGTTTCAGCTGTGGCTCTGTGCGCGCCTGGATCTGGTTTTGTTGGATGCAGGGCTGGCTTTGCTGCAGGAATGGTTGATGTGCTCCCTGCACTGAGTGGAGGCTGCTCTCCAGCTGCTGCCCATGTTGCTGATGTTTGTAAGGGATTTCTATGGATTGATGGAGATGGTTTGATCCATGAGGTCTGACCCATTGTGGACTCTGCTGCTGATTACCAAGAGGTGACTGTACAAACTGAGACAGCCCGAGCTCAGCTGTTCCTGCTGGTGGCCTCCACTGTAGACTGCTAGACTGCTGCTTATCCTCATCAGCCTGCTTCATCAGCAGGGGCGTTGGCTGACTGAGAACTGAGGGCAACAGCTGCTCCCACGGCTGGCTGCTCTGCTGGTTTTGGGTCACAATGTGCTGCTGCATTTGCTGAGGGAGATGCAAGATCAGCGATTGCTGGTTTTGTGGCAGGGACTGGTGTGAGCACTGGGATCCTTTCTCTGGCATCTGAGATGGATACACCACTGCATCTTTGCTTGGATTCTGGCCTGGGTCTGACAAGGAACAGGCCTGCTGCTCCCCAGTGAGCTCATCCTCACATTTGTTTACAAGTGAACCATGAATATAGGAGAGGATTTCATTGTTTGTTAATAGATCGTTCAGAGAAGGAATATAATCTAGGTCCGTTTCTACCCTCACCATCCTTTCATCCAACAGCAAGAGCTCCAGATCCTCAGCATTCAGCCCCAGACCCTCCAAAGCATTAAACAGCTCATTATTTGAACAGTTTTCATCACTGCTAATCGAGAGAGAATCCAGCGTGGTCAACAGTGGGTCCCCTTGCCTCAAGTCAGTCAGCTCCTGCTTGGGACTATTTTCCCCAAAGGACAATGGATTAGCAACTGCATTCCAGTTGTCTCCTCCAGTCCCAAATAAACCAGATTCTCCCAGGTGGCTGAAGAGATTGCTGCTGAAGGAATGTTTGGGAGTAGAAGCCAGATGGGAGACATGAACAGCCTCATCTTGCCTCATCATGGCTCCCAGAAGAGAGTTTGGGTCTACATTGTCCTTCTGGGACCTTCCCCCTTTACCGTGAGAATTCTTTTTGGATCTGTTGTTTTTCCCTTTGCTGTTGAAAGGGTCAGGGAAGCCAGGAAGTGGGTAGGGCGTTTGATATAATAGTGCCTCTCCTGTAGCAAAGGTAAAAGGAAGATGCATAGAACGCTTCCGAAGGTGCTCCCCTCCTTCTTCATCTCTGCACAGAACAAAGACAAGATTGGTTATGGACACATACCCACAAGGAGACCTAGAATGACTCACCACAGAGGTTAATATCGCCTTGCTGATTCCCCCTAGTGCTCACATAATCAACACTGGTATCAAAGATCTTTTTTGGAAGCTTGCACCTTCTATGTGGGGTGAGGGAGGGGAACTGAGGCAAGTGACCTCAGTGCACAGAAGGTAAAGGAGATATTAAATAGTCTGAAGTCTTCCTCACATACAACCCTTTCAGAAGGCTGCACTCGTACAAAACTGGATTTTAACATTGCCAAGAGAAAGGAATGTAGTTCAAAATCAACTTTCCATTAAACACACACCAGCACCCCATTGCTGATAATTATGTTGCAAGGAGTAACAAAATCCAGCCTGCCAAAGTTCTCCATCACTGCCTCCTCCAAAGTTTCTTCTTCTGAAGCAGCTGGTGCTGGCCACTGTTGGAGACAGAATACTGGACTAGATGGACCATTGGTCTGACCCAGTCAGGCCATTCCTATGCTCCTGGAAAACCTTGATTTTAATTTTGGAATCTGATGCAGAACTAACATAGGGTTCTTAAAACAGGGGAGTTGTGTAGGGTTCTCTGGTGCATGTACAAAGTCAAGTAGCTGCACCGGGTTCATATTGCATCCTGGACAAAACAGAAACTCCGGACAGAATGAAGAATGACACTAACCAAGACTTGAAAAAAAAAACCCAATAGCATTTATCAGCTGTTTTGCGTGCAGGTAAGGTCTCGCTGAGGGATATTCCCAGATGGTAGAGGGATGTTCTAGGCTAGGGATTGTGCATCAACAGCAAGCTCACATATGCCCAGCTGATGATATAAGTGATATCCGGGTATCTGTCACAATCTTGTGCTATTGAAGTCAATGGGACTTTTGCCAGGGAGTTCATTGATGTGGGTTCAAGCATATGCCTCCCTAAAATGCAGCCCGTGATCAAAGCAAAGTCTGAGGGAAAACCCTCTGAAGTTGTGTTTGTGGTGTTTTCATGACTGCTGAAGGGGAGATAGGGGGTGAAGGGAGACGTCCTCACTCCTGCAGGTAGTTCCCATGCACGGGAGAAATTCCAGAGAAGTTGGAGACCACACACAAGTGTCAGGACTATTTGCAGGAGAAAAGGTTTCCAGGATCAGCCGCAGAGAGTATCGTTGGCTTGTCTTAATAACTGGCCTGTTGCATAATGCGGCTCAAGTGTGCCACATTGTGTGGAACATCCTGCATCTGGCCCCAATTTTTAAGGCTCTCCCACAGCCCCATGCCACCATCACAAAGTATCAGTTCAGCTGCTTGGCAAGTTTTCCTGGTTGTGAGCTGCATGGCTTGGTGCTTGACAACACCATGTCTTACACTCCTCCAGGTGTCCGTGTTGCCCCTGGGCCAAGGAAGGGGCAGCGAAGTAATTGCATCACACCTCTGAGCTGCTCCCAAGTCACCTACTTTCCCAAGCAGCTGGGCCTGGAGCTGCCTGTCCTGGAGCTGGGCTGGCCAGGCTTTTCCAGGGGCTCGCACTGCAGGCTCACCCAGGGGGAGGCGCATTCCCAGCACAGCTTTGGGGAAACCATCCACAGCTGCAAGGAGGTAGCACGCAGGCAAATTTGCTCCACTGGGAAGGTGATTCCCCTGTCTGAGCTCTTCCCTGCAGCAAGGGGTAAAGCCCCATGCAGTTCCCTGCATGGAGCCACCCATGCCCCTTTTCTGTGAGCTGCTGTGATGGGGTGACTGTCCCACACTGGACTGTTAGGGGTTAATCAGATGGCTGCATGAAAAGCAGCCAATAGGAAAGGGGTTGCGAGGAGCAGCCAATCAGGGTTGGGCAGGCCCATATGAGAAGAGCTGCAGGGCAGAGCAAGTTCAGAAGCTGACTGGAGCTTGATGAGAGAAGACAGTGTGGGACAGAAGGGAACTAGTATCCTGGACAGAGCAGGGTGGAGCTAAAGATGGTGCCTGGTTGGCTGCAGGATTCACAGGCTGGGGCCCTGAGGCAAGCTTGAAGAGGGTGCTGGAGGCTGCAGGGAAGTGGCCCAGGGAAATGAATGGAGGAGTCAGAGGGGACGCAGCAAGTGGTGGCCATCTACAGGGTCCCTGAGCTGGGACCTGGAGTAGTGAGAGGGCCAGGGTCCCCCCACCTGCCACAGAGGAAGTGGCCAGACAACTGGTTTCAGTTGCCACTGAGGGAAGTGGCCAGACAGCAGACTGCAATTCCTCCGGAAAGGGGGAGAATAGAGCATGAGATGGCTGGAGGTTGGTGGCGTGAAGAGGACGCCATGGGAGTGACGTGGGTCCTAGAGCAAGGTGATGGTGGTGTGACGCCGCCAGAAGAGGGTGCACTGGCTAGCAGAGCTAATCCCTGGGACAGTCAGCAGGAGGCGCTGTGAGCGAACACCATCACAGCTGCAAACTTGGTTCCTGAAAGCTGGAGTTGCAACGCCCCTCCCCCGGGTCGGGTCAGCTAACTCCACAGTTCAGAGCGTAATCCTAAAGGACGGGTTAACCCTAAGATTATTTATTGTTTTATTGCATTATTTTAAGTGTCTTTAACATTTTGCTCTAGCAAAACCTGTGACATTCCTGGTTAAAGGTAGAACAGCTATCACTGAAGACCAGCCTCTAAAAGACACAAGCTTTCATAATTCCCACCTTAGCATCTGCAGTATGCTTGTAGTACACAGGATCATGTTGTATGTCCATATAAGAAGTTTCTGGCTATTTGCATGAGTGTATTTTTTTTTTTAAAACAAAAACCATGTGTTCAATAAAAAAGTGTGATGTTCCTCATTCCAGTGTGTGAGGGTTGAGAAAGATGCAGGGGTATGCGATCATCTCTTGCCATAAGTAAGCGGCCAGAGAAGGGATGAGGTAGCCCTAGCGAAGGCCAGAGGGGACTGTTGAATTTCAGAGCCCAGGCTTACAACGGCCCGATTCTGTTCCAACACGGCAGTAAACCACAAGTTCCCCACTCTAGCCAGTATACCAATGTAAGGTGGTGTGAAATCAGAATCAAACCCAGAATATTTTCTCGTTCTTTAGAATAATACAGTGGTTTTTGTCCCTGGATGCCATCCCAAGCAACGGGAGAGTTTCAAAGAATTTGTATATTTCATGGCCTAGTGGCTCAAGCTCGGGACTGGAATTTAGGAGAGCTGGTTTCTATTCCTGGTTCTGCTGGGTGACATTGGGCAAGTCACCTCACTGCTCTATGCCTTGGTTTCCCTATCTGTAAAGTGGAGATAATGATAGTGCCTTTTGTAAAGCACTTTGAGATCTACTGATGAAGAGTGCTAGATAAGAGCAAGTTTCAGAGTAACAGCCATGTTAGTTTGTATTTGCAAAAAGAAAAGGAGTACTTGTGGCACCTTAGAGACTAACCAATTTATTTGAGCATAAGCTTTCGTGAGCTACAGCTCACTTCATCGGATGCATACTGTGGAAAGTACAGAAGACATTTTATACACACAGTATGTATCCGATGAAGTGAGCTGTAGCTCACGAAAGCTTATGCTCAAATAAATTGGTTAGTCTCCAAGGTGCCACAAGTACTCCTTTTCTTTTTGCAGATAAGAGCAAGGCATTATTATTACATTGTTTTCATTATAGTCAGTGCCCAGTTGGGATCCATGCTGCTCCTTCTGAGAGAAGCAACAAGCAAGACAGCGTACTAGGAAGATGAAGCAAGTGACCTACCCTACTCTGTCAGAGCTTCCTTACTAAATGAAACTAAGAGACTGACAACCTCTCCTGGGTTCCAGAGGCTAGACCCACTCCAGGCCCGTACCCCGGCACTTACACAAGCGGCCTTTGCGTGGCAATGATGTAATCGGGTTTGCCATTCTTGTAGACTAGTCTAGCATTGGCCTGGACCCACTTCCAGCGATTTTCTTTTGTCAGGAGACGGAACACAGTCAGGCCGCTCTCGCCCGTTTTCATCACTGGAAAAGAGATGCCAAGACAATGCAGTGAGCGACACCTGATCTGCAGAGATGGATCCAGGGATGCAGAGCCTTGGTGTCACAAGGTACTGCGATTTCTGCAAGACCAAAGCGCCCTGGAGCACATGAGCCCTTCGATACAGACTGTCTCAGCTGTGCCCATCCAATCTGGTCAAATGCCACTCAAGGACAATTCTTCATTTTTCTCATTCATGACACGTATGCTAGTAATATTTGCATATGTGTTCGTTTATTTGCCGACATTGTGGTGTTAAGTTATCTAGGAAGGGAGGGGGGCAGAACAGTTATCCCTATAAAGGGGTAGGGCCGATCCTCTGCTGGAGTAAATGGGCATTTCTGATTTACACCAGCTGAACATCTGGCCCATGCTCTTTATAAAAGCCATGTTAGAAAAAAGATAGCCATTTCAGAGGTTACGTCAGACAAGACCCAGAGGTAATTTTACCTCTCCCCCCAACCCAAATTAGAATGCCCATGTGAGCGGGGCTGGGACCTGACAGCAGGGGCAGATAAGGGTCACACTAACTGTGTCTTGTTTAATGAGGCCATTTAAACAACAATTAACTCTATATGGCTGCTTTTACAGAATCCCCTTTTTTTCTATGGCTAAACTGTGTGTGGGGTTTTTTACTTGGCTCCCTTTCTGTTACATGCAATGTGTTTTGGGTCAGATCCATCACCTGTAGCGTGAGTATGACATGTTGCACCAAGAAAGGACCACTGAAAGGGGCTCAAGTCACTTAGTGATGCTGGGTGAAATAACTGAACCAAGCTGGCTTTAGGGTCAGGAACCCGAAGCAGCAATTGTGTCCAACATCGCTGCGATTCAGTTTGTGGATCGCCCCATAGGCTCCTAATCAGACAAACAGGAGGCAAAGCCATGATCTGTCCAACAGATTCACAATCCTTAACACCAACACCATCCCTTCAGAAATGCTTCATTCAGTAATTAATCAGGCATTGCTCATGCCTTTACGAAAGCCAGATCGTATTGCTTGCCCTCCCGACGTGGGACATTTGGCTGTGACCTAGGGTTCCAGCACCACTGGGCTGGGGAAATAGAGATGCTCTCCACTCCATGTGGGAGGGTGAACCCTGAGCACCAGCATACGCTGGAGCTCCTCATGCCAGCTCTTACCCTACAAAGGGCTGAGCAGGTGCCAAGCACCCTCAATGCCCTTCTGAGCACCTCACAGGGTCAGGTCCTGCCGATGGGCAGAGAATTATCTGTAGAAACCCCTAACCCATCGTGTGCAATGGAGAAGTTCCTGGGCCACACTGGGCCCAGCCCTGTGTGGATTCACAAGGGGACAAGGAAGGATCCAGGCACCGCTCCCCTCTGCTCCTGCCCCATGAGTCAAAGAGTAACCCAGCAGTCGTGTTCGCCAGAGCCTTGGTGGCACTGTGCAGCACCGCAGTAGCCCCAGTGCATCCCCCCTTGCAGTCTGTTTGAAAGGGAGGGTTTGCTGAAAACCTCTACAAGAAGGGAAGGCGGAGACATGGCCTGCACTCCTGGATGTTATCTCCCACCAGTTCTTTCTGGGCAGCCTGTACCTAGCCCAAGTAACAGGGCTTTGCAGGTGGTGCTCCCGTGGAGATTGCTCCCATGTGACTACAGCAGCTGGTGCCAGGAATGGAATTTAAAGGGGAATCTACCTAATTTCTGTTCTCCTGAAGCCCTTAGGACTGGTTAGCCAGCCAGGGTGCCCACAGCCTTGCACAGGGATGCAGGAGGGATGGACAGGGCTAAGAGGGTTACTTGCTGTGGTGCTGCCAGGGCGATCCCTGAAAGGGCCAGGTGGAGGGGGCAGCATCTGCAGGTGGCAGAGCATGTGCTGCTGTGGAGCCCCTGACAGGAGTTCTGGCTAAGTTAGACAGAGTCCCTCCAGCACACCAGAGCCAGACTTTTGTATAATGCACAACACAGCACAGACAGAGGCTTGTTGGCTGGACAGCTGACCCTGGCCAGCTTGTTCTAGGTCAGCATGCCCAGGGACCATTGCCATCATCTACTCTGACCCCCCCCAGTATAACATAGGCCAGACAACGTCCCCCAAATAATGCCTACAGCAGAGCTTTTCGATAACATTGTCAGAGCCCTAGAAGGCTCCACACTTTTCTACCATCTCCCTCCAAAGACACCTCCAGCTGTGTCTCTGGACTGTCACTCACACTGCATTCAGATTAACTATCCAAACCTGCAGATTTTTAACAGTCTTACTTCGGACGTGATTCTCAGCACAGTACAGCATATCAGCGGCGTGGATGAACTGGTACCCGGTACCACGCACCCGCAGCTCTGCCTCCGTATAGCCCAGCACGACCTTCCCTCTGAGGTAGAAGAGCAGAGCACCACGATTACAGAGAGGTCAGCAGCCTGGCCCTCAACAATCCAGCTGCTAGGGGAAAAGGCTTCTAGCAACACTCCATTCCCAGCTTATTTACAGTTCTGCAATGGAGACATCGCCTCATCCGCGGGGCAGGCGGTCAGTAAGAGCCCCCTGACAGGATCACCCAGACCCTGGATCTGGGCACACAGGAGATAGCAGCATTGCTCCCTCCCCCCCTGGAGCGGGTGGGTGAAGAATGGCTTTCCTCCGCGCCCTGCCCTGTACTACCCCACCCGTGCACCAGAGCAGAGAGTAGGGTTACCAGGCGTCCGGTTTTTGACCGGAACACCCAGTCGAAAAGGGACCCTGGCGTTTCCGGTCAGCACTGCTGACCGGGCTGTTAAAAGTCCGGTCGGTGGCACAGCAGGGCTAAGGCAGGCTCCCTGCCTGACTCCGCGCAGCTCCCGGAAGCAGCGGCATGACCCCCTCTGGCTCCTAATAGCAGGGATGGCCAGGGGGTTCCATGTGCTGCCCTTGCCCCAAGTGCTGGCTCCACAGCTCCCATTGCCCGGGAACCGTGACCAATGGGAGCTGCAGGGGCAGTGCCTGTAGACAGGGCAGTGCACAGAGCCGCCTCGCCGCGCCTCTGCCTAGGATCCAGAGGGGGGACAAGCTGCCACTTCCAGGAGCCACCTGAGGTAAGTGCCACCTGGAGCCTGCACCCCAAACCCCCTCCCGTGCCCCAACCCCGAGTCCCCTCCTGCCCTCTGAACCCCTTCAAAGAGAGGCCTAGCTAGGCCTCCTCAGCTAACTGTGTTACCTGGGGCAGTACCGTTAAAGTGGGAAGCTTTGTAAAGAGTGGAATGGACCCCAACAGACTAAGAAGGAGCAAGATTTCAGGAAACTGGCTGGAATTCACCCCCGTGCAGAAGGTCCCAGGAAGCCTAAGCAGCATTTAACCATTTAAATTAGGGCTTTGCATGGTCCCTGTGCCCAGGGAGGGTTCCCCACACAAGGATTAATTAAAAAAAAAAATCTGAATTATGAGCAGCCAGAGGCTAACAGAGTACACAGCTCCTCGGGGCTGTGAAGAGTGTGACAGGGCAGAGACCAGAAGCAGGATGTTCTTCTTTTAAAGAGTAGCACAACGGGAACAAAACAGACACAGCAAGGCTAAGGAGGCCTGGAATGCCAATGGCTGTTCAAATACTGTCAATGGAAGCAAAGGCTGGCTGTAGCCTTTACATAGGACAGTGGCTCTCAACCTTTCCAGACTACTGTACCCCTTTCAGGAGTCTGATTTACCTTGCATACCCCCTCTCTTAAAAACTACTTGCTTACAAAATTAGACATAAAAATACAAAAGTGTCACAGCATGCTGTTACTGACAAAGTGCGTCCTTTCTCATTTTTACCATATAATTATAAAATGAATTGATTGGAATATAAATACTGTACTTACATTTCAGTGTATAGAACAGTATAAACAAGTCATTGCCTGTATGAAATTTTAGTTTGTACTGACTTCACTAGTGCTTTTTATGTAGCCTGTTGTAAAACTAGGCAAATATCTAGATAAGTAGACTTCTGCATATCCCCAGGGGTATTTGGACCCCTGGTTCAGAACCACTGACACAGGACAGTTTTGATCCAGCTAGTACTTCAGTCACGAGTGACATAAATTGGGGGATAGGTCTTATCTCAAGCCAGGGTGGATGAAGGGCCAAATCACATAGGCCTATGTCCTCAAGTGTATTTAGGCACCTACGTCTCACTGATTTCAATGAGCACTAGACACCAAAATATCTTTGAGGATGTGGGCCATAATCCCCACACAACTGCTGATTCCTGCTTCAAGAACTTGTGCTGCAGGTCCAGGTTAGGGTGCACTGGCAGAAGTCTGCAGAGAAGCCTAGCCAGCCACTTGCTATCTGTGCCTGACTCTAACCCATGGGACCAATCTTTCACTTCCATAAGCAAGGATATTGACTACTACAGTTAGCTGAAAAATGAACTACTAGTTTTGGAAAGGTTTTGAAAATGAAAAATGTTGTTTCCATGCTGAAGGATTCTAAATGGACCCCCTCCCTTTTTATTTAACTATTTTTTTAATTTCTCCACCCATCCAATTGTGTTTAATCAAAAATGTTGCTGACCTGGTTAACAATACTTTTCATTTACCAAAAATTGTGTTCCCAGTAACTGAAAATCTTCAACAGTCATTTGGATAATTTCAAGGTGGTTGATAAAGAGTACCCTGCCCCCAGAAAAACATTCTAACAATTTTTTGCAAAAAACCAAGTCACTTTCCTCCCCAAAACCCTTTTTGTTAAAAAAAATATTTCAACTAGCTGTATTAACCACATTTTAAAAAACAAATAGATACCTTTCCTAAGTAATTAATTATTATTATTAATTTATTTGTATTTCAGTAGCTCCTCAGAGGTCCCATCATGGACCAGGACCCCCCCGTGCCAGGAGCTGCACAAACATGGAACACCACAGAAAGATGCTGAATGTAACATGAGTCTTGCTTACAAGAGTATTTGGGGAAAATCTTGTTTAACAGCACATGCCAACATTAGTCCCAACTTCTGTACTTACTTGGCATCACATGCCAAGGGGGTGAAGTCCAGTTTGTGCTTGGTTCTGAAGATCAAGTTTTTGGTTCTGATCTCCAAGATGGAGGGGGGCTGCAAGGGAGTGGAGATGGCAAAGAGAGCCAGCTGGGGTGGCAGCAGGGACCCATCCTCAGACCTTTTGTTCTGGCTGTGGAGAAATTTCAACCTGCCCTGAAGGTTTAAAGCCTTGAAAAGAAAAAAGAGGAGTCACTTCGAGAACATGAATCGGGCTGTTAACTTCAGCAACAAAAGGCCTGTTTAAAGCAAATACAGCATTTGTTAATAAGTAAATGCAAACGAACAAGACAAGCCTAGGGGAAGGAGAGAAAAGCCAATGAACACTGCATCATCGGGACTGTATGCTATTCAGAGGAGATTTTCAGAGGTGCTGCTGGAGCACAAAATCCCCTGGCACTGAGTCTGGACCCCTCTTCCCTCACAACCCTGAAAGACTACACTGCAATTTAATAGCCCCGCAGCCTGAGTCAGCTGACCCAGGCCAGCTGTGGCTGTCTTATCGCAGTGTAGCTGTACCCTGTGGCAACAATGCCATAAACCAGGTTAGACACATGCTGTAAGGTCAGGACATAGGTAGGACCTGTTCTTGTGATCTCTATTCATGTGAGCTCACAAACAAAATTACAGTAGAGACAGTTTCAGTGGTGGCAGGACACAACCCATCCCGCCCAAAACCTTACAAGTCGGGAACTGAGAAGTAAAGAGGAAAGACTTACGAATTCCCTTCCCCCCTCCCGCTGCCTGCAGCATTGTGGCTAACACACTCCAGTTCTCCCATCTCCAACAAACACCCAAAAGCAATCCGTACCCCACCTTCATCAAATGTTCATCCAATGCAAAACCAGAGGGAGTAGCCATGCTGCTCAGCTGTTTGAGAGGTCTGAGAGGCAGAGATGGACCTCAGTTAGTTCTCTGACTGCACATTTTATTGCCCTTGAAAAGTTACTGGAAATAAATACAGGAAGTGACATCACCTGTCAGCTGGAGGGAAGTGCCTAGCAGGAATCTGGGTCACCACTCACTTCCATTTTGGTAATGTAACGTCTTCAACCACACGTAGGATTTCAATAATTGTTTTGTTTAAAAATATGATTGTTTTTTACTCTGTTGAGTCATTTGATTTTACTGTAGTGCCCCAATACCTATTAGGGTTTTATTTTTTTAAAAAAATGCAGCCTGTATTTTAATGTGCTTGTTAAAATGAAATCAATTCTGAATATAAAAACCAAACCATCACCACATGCAATTACTCAGACTCTGTGCATGTGATTTTCGTTTTTCTCCTAGAGGCATCAGTTTAAAATACTTGGTTAATTTCATTCAAACAGCAGATTCTGTTGTGTCCTAACTTTCACTCAAATAGTTTATTTTTTTAGGTAATCCCCAAGAAGCAGTTGCGAAGCAACATCATCTATTCCCCAAGGACAGTAACTATTATACACAGAGTGTAGCGGTGTCTAAACCCAGCAGGTCCCAGAGCCAAATGCTTATATTGCAGCTTTATAGTCCTGCAGCCTGAGATCCATGAGCCCTGAGTGTTGAGTTGTAGTGTAGACATAGCCTTAGAAAAAGGTACAATTTCAGCTCCTTGTCTCCTTTTGCCCACTTCTTCCTCTTTTTTTAGCCTTCCTTGGCAATGACAGTGTTTGTGCTGCAGCAGATTTGTTATCAAACTAAAATTTGATAGGTTTGCCTTGATGCCCATATATTCCCTCATGGCTAAAAGTAATAAATCATCATACAGACAAACACTCCTGCTGTACAACTGATACCCTAGGAGTCAGAACATGAGGCACAGCCATGTGGCCGAAGCACCAATCTAAGCATGTGCTAGATTTCTTGTAATAGGAGGGCAAAGGAAAGTGAGACAATGCAGTGAAAAAACACCAAAAGAGGCGAGTTTTTTAAATCTCTTTTTAGTCCCTCTGTATCGCTTTGTTTCTAATGAATGAGCAGACAGGCTTTTGTAGAGACATAGGGAGAAATTTGATGTCACTTTCTTACAGGGCCTGATTCGAAGACCACTGGAGGAAATCAGAAACCCTCCATTGCCTTCAATGGACTTTGAGTCAGGCCCACCTTAACTTTACTGAGCAGAACCATGCTCCTCACTGCTCCCATCTTTCCCTTATTGGGCTGTTCTGTGCGAGCTGAGCCCTGGTATGGCAACATTTCAGGCTGCCAATGGGATCTGGTGTGTCCCTGCAGTGCTGTTGCTAGTCTCCTTGGCAGTCATGTGGTCTGTTCTTTGAGGAATAAAGTTCGCACAGCTTCCTATCTGTGCTTCCTCCCATTCACACGTGCCCCCTCTGGCTGGCTAACACACACATCCAACCAAAGCATCGACATCCTTAAAGCCAGTCCTTTGGGACCTGTGCTGTGGTGATCTTGCATGGTCAGAAAATACTGCTCTAAAATAAAGGCCTCAGCCATGTCTTCCTGTAGCTGAAAATCCAGGCCATCTAATGTAAATGCCACAGGGCTGGCTCCAAAGGTGGTTTTAACAAACAGATTGCTTTTCACACAGTAGGCATCCAAACCTTTCTACAAAGCACCTTGCTAAGGGTTAGGGACTGCGTGCTGGGTGAGGAAAAAGCCATTCCAGGCTCAGGAATAGTGCACATGCACATGCCCCTGGGCACAGCAGTCTGGTTTACTGGGAGAATAGGTGTAAGGGAACACCAGGAAAAAGCACCACCCACATGATGCAACTATCACCCCAACAGAGCTCTGAGTATTATTAGTGCAACTGAAGCCAGTGCTGGTGAACTGTGCCGGACTAACAACACTGGTATTTGACATCCACCCTCCACAGAGCAGATGGCACAAGCTAACCCAGCTTTTCACTAATATGTCTCAGGCCACTAGGGGTTAAGAGGATAGCACAGGTTTCAGAGTAACATCCGATGAAGTGAGCTGTAGCTCACGAAAGTTTATGCTCAAATAAATTGGTTAGTCTCTAAGGTGCCACAAATACTCCTTTTCTTTTTGAGGATAGCACAGTTACCATGTCCATTCAGTCTCTGGCTTCCACTTAGCCACAAGCTGTGAGGGTGACTTTTCACACCTGCTTGCGGGCTGAAACCACACTGTGAAGTGCATTTAGACATCACACAGCTATGAGGCCTGAATGACTTTTGGTCACTACCAACAGCAGCTGCATTTGAATTGGTGATCAAGCCGTGAAAAGCTTCTCAACCTATTACCAGTCCCCTGAGCCAACCAGCCCTCTTAGCATTTTGCATGAGGCATTCACCAACCTTCATATTTTCGCTGCCAGGCAGTATCACCTAGAGCCATACCCTCATGCAGAACTGACCCAGAGTGGTGCTTTTTTGTGTGTGCAAAGTCCTTGTTTTGGGAAATCTCCTCCCAATCACTTAAAAAGCTTAGAGGTGATCTGAAAACATAACAGTAATGGAGTTTGTGCACTTGATAGAAGCTTTATGACGTAATAATAAGGCCTAGGGGGAAAAAAAAAAAGGCTTTATTTTCCTGGAAGTGATTCTCAAGCATCTTTGTTTTTGTGACAGATATTTAACTCAGATGTCTGGCGAACAGATTGGAGAAAAGCATGGTTCTTAAAGAGTCTGTCCCTCTGCTCCTTCCATTAAGGGTTGAGTGAGCTCCCAAGCCGCATTTCTGGGTCCTCCCCTGGAGAACGCAGGCACTGGGGGAACATCAGACCTTGTTTTCCATTTTGAAAGTCACTTTTAAAATCACCATTCCAGAATGCCACCAAAAACTGAATGCCATTTTGTTGTTTGCTGAAGTTTAACACAAGCAAATTCTCCTGTCAGAATCCAGACAAACCCCTCAATTTAGGCAACAATTGTCCTGACCCTGGTCTGTGGGTGAACCACACTATGTACTATTTGTGTGTGTGTTTGGGGGGGGGGGGGGAGGAAGCAGAGCCAAAGGGGAAGTTAAGCCAGTTTACATCCTCCACTCCAGATCCGGGCGTCAGCCAAGGACAGGGCTGTTCACTGGATGTCCCGCTTTGAGCTGCTGCCTGTGCCCTATAAGGGCCATTCCAAAAGCTGCTGACCCCCAGGGTGATTAGACGGAGATTCACTGGTGTTCAGCAGGTTTGCCCTGATAGATCAGGGGCCACATTCTGCCCCCAATGAATTTAGGAGTGGAAGTATGTCACTTTAGCTGCTACACTAGCCTTGTTCTTAAATTGTCCCACCATCAGTGCAGCTCCATTGGTGGTAGCACAGAGGAAGAGCTAGTGTGTATGAGGACATTGTCTGACCATGTTCCTAACACTTCTAGAGGATGAGGTGCTCAAAATGCCAGTGGTCTGTCTAGACTAGTGCTCCCACTGGCAGAGATGTGCTAGAAGTGGAAGGGGGACTGAAGAACAAAGGCTGCTGTGGAGAAGGCCTTTGTTCCAGCATGGTCAAGGATTGACTGAAGACTCAAAGGAAAAAACAGGCCTGTCATAGAAACAGCCCCCTTGTTCTGGTAGGGAGAATTCAGCCCTGGCAGAGCTGTGTTAAGGGTCTTCTGCCACCAATGGGTGTGTGTGTGTGGGTGAGAATACTAAAGGAGCAGTCCTGCACTAATGTCACACTAATGAGGAGAGGCTGATGCAGGTTCTTACTCACCATGAACCCAGATGAATTATCCAGGAGGCAGCGGAATCGGCACACAAAGCTCCTTTCGAGGAAAGAGGAATTCTCGGGAGGCAGCTGGCTGGGCTTGTAAGTGATAATGGAGGAGCTGATACTTGTTTCACCTAAAGGATGTGGGATAAAGGAGAGCCCAAATTAACACACAGGGAAGTGTGGAGACTCCCAACAAGCTGACAACGTGCATCAGCAGCTATATCTATTGAAGGTATTGTAAAAAATCTCCTCTTGATGGACACACTTGGTTCCTTCTTTCTAATTAAACGCCCCCTACAAAAACCTGCATGCACATGAAGAACAGGACTGTTTCAAAGTGAAGCACTCAAAAGTCAGGAAAGTTCCAATGGCCTGCTGTGGGTGCAGCCCTGAGTTACAAGGTCTCTCTCTATCGTTGACATAGGACCTCTGCCTTATTCAGTGCACAAGCTGGACACTGCACAGAGAATATTTCAGTTCACAGCTGCCTCAATGAAGGATTTGCCATCTGAGAGACCTGCACCTGCCTTGGAAAGGCAACTCCCATCTTTTCATATGCTGTGTATTTATACCTCCCTATTGTATGTTCCACTCCATTCATCTGATGAAGTGGGTTTTAGCCCGCGAAAGCTTATGCCCAAATAAATTTGTTAGTCTCTAAAGTGTCACAAGGACTCCTCGTTGTTTCTGCACATTACTGCAGCTGAGGCTTGAACCGAGTGGTGTCTGTAGGCAGCAGGTCTAGTGGACGATCTGTCTCCCCCATTGAGGGCCAGGACCAAACTCCTCTTGACAGGACCTGCCCAGGACTAACAGGAATACAACAGCATTTTTAAAGCAGCTATCTTATGGAAACAGTGAAGAGTCGCAGGACATTCCCGGTGGTCTTTGGGCTGCTAACAGAACTGGCCGGGCCCCTAGCAGGCTCTATGCCACCTCCCTTTCTTTAGTCTCCTGCACCTACCATCAGGCGATGGTTTGCTCTCGGGAGTGGGAGGTGGGTTAAGGGCCCAGTGAAGGTTGCGCCTGAACTCCTGTTGGTCCTCGGTGTGGATCAGCTCAAACACGCTCTGGTGCATGACATCTGTCTGGAAGGAAGCAGAGTGACAGGTGAGTCCAACTGTCTATCCCAGGCACCTGCAGCTGCTGCACAGCTGGGGACAGCCTGGCCTCTCGCCATCGGAACTGCCACACACACAGTGGACCAGATTTCATCACCCTCACTCTCAGGGGCAGTGCCAGGGCCTGCAAAGAGTCTCACCCCACTGAGATCAGTGGGGCTCCCCGGGGAGTAAGGTTCCATATCCCAGGCCTGAGCACACTCTGCTGATGGGAGCTGGGTCAAGCCAGGGTGGGTAAAGGTGGCCTGCATCCCTCACCTCCATGGCATAGACAGCAGCCCCTGCAAAGGCAATGGAGCTACCTGTTGGAGCCAGAACTACACAATGGACCCAATTCTGCCACCCCTACTCACCATGGAAGAGGTCCTGGTTTCTTTAGTGGGACCATTTGGGGCATAAGAGTGAGTCAGTGTGGAAGAAACTGATTCAAGTGTCAGTGGTGCAGAATCAAGCCCAATCTGCTCAAAGAATCCCAACAAAACAGATCACCATGATTTATTCTGCCTTTACCTGGTCATCACCTAAAGGGTGAGATTGTGGCTTTGGACTTCACTACACAGGTGTGCAGTCACAAGCTACCCCAGTGTAATTAATATGCGGTGTGTTTGCTGGCAAGATGAAGTATGTTTAAGCAGAAAAAGCAAGCAATGACTAATAGGGTAGCTCCAATAAGAACAAAAGCCAAAAAAGGTCTGTAATTAAGTCACACTTCACAACAAAGATCTGACCTCATTTCCCTGAATGAGTCAGTAGAACAGACAGACATGATTTACAAAGAGCAGATCAGAATAATAAAAATCACAAACACTGCCCTCACTGGCGCTTTGACTCTCAGTCATTCACTATAATTTGCTGCAATTTGCCAACTAAATTAATCCTCAAGATCTTCACATTTAAAATATGAAAACTTCTGAACTATGAAATATAAATAAGGTTTAGAATGCTAGGAGCTTTGTACTGGTTATATTTCAGTTTATTATAATTTTTTTTTAAATGAAAGGAAGTTCTGCATATTGGAAGAAACATTCTTAAGCAATTTGACACCTCAGCAGCTGATTTATGCACATGTTGTACAGTACTTAGATTATCCTGATTCCAGTAGTTTTGAATCTATTAGAAAAAAACATTTCAAAAGGAGAAAAACAGCACTAAATCTGTTCCATTGCCTGCAATAATGCAGAGCTATTAATAGATGTCAGCTTCACTTATTTTTGAAATTCATAAAGAAAACATTGCAGATGCTGTTAGAAAATAGAGGCCAAGACACTGTGCCAAGGTGGATACAACTGGGGACTGGGAGTCAAGAGACCCGAGTTTTAATTCCGGCTTTGCTACTGAGTGTCCTTGGGCAAATCACTTCACCCCTCTGGCTCATTTTCTCCATCTGCAAAATTGAGCTAATGATGCTTACTTTGGGATATATAGAGAATGAAAAGCCCTATATAAGAGTGAAGTACTTTATTTGACTTCCCTACAGGTTAAGGCAGGCAAGTCAATATCTACTTTCCACACACAGTTACTGCAATTGCATGCACGCATCAGGTATCTGTGCACGGCAAAGACCAGTGCTGGAGAGTTGAATGTGCAATTACATGATGTGATCCTGTGCTTAAGGCTATTAAACATGCAAATTAGTTGAGCAGTTGCATTTATTTTTATACATGCAGTTGTGATCTGGCCTTGTTTGAAAATCTGGCCCTCCACATTTAAGTGCCCATTTAAGAGGGGCTGTCACCCTTGGGGAAATATTTCAAATCAGTCAGACCTTTAATATAAGATCATCAGAATGGGGATACTGGGTCAGGTCAAGGGTTAATCTACTCCAGTATTCTGTCTTCCGACAGTGGCCAATGTCAGGTGCCCTAGAGGGAATGAACAGAACAGGTCATCATCCAGTGACCCATCCCCTGTCGCTCATTCCCAGCTTCTGGCAAACAGAGGCTAGGGACACCATCCCTGCCCATCCTGGCTAATTATAGGGAAACAATTGTTAACATTAAGATCACTGAAGTTCATTTCTGATCAGTGAAAGCTGCAGGGAAACCATCATTCTTTGAGGAGACCAATTAAGTTACAATAAACGTGGTGGCCAACTCTTTCTGCAAGCAACTGTCAACTGTTTCCAAGCCTTGATAAATGATCAGAGTCTTCGTACATGTGGGTGAAAACTGGTGACTGTGGCTTAGTTGGAGGAAGCAAATTGGTGAGAATGACACTATCAAAAAGGGGGCCATTTATGAAGGCTTCCTCTGCAAAACAAGGAAATATGGTATTTGGCCACTAAAATGTCATGAAAAATACAAAAAAAGTCTCCCGCTTAGGCAGACTGGAGTGCCTGCTGGGCTGGGACAGAATAGGAAAGGAAACTAATTTCCTTTCCTAAGTGAATTCTTTGTATTGGTCTTCATGGCTGAGGATTTGAGGGAGATTCCCAAACCTGAGCCATTCTTTTTAGGTGACAAATCTGAGGAACTGTCCCAGATTGACGTGTCATTAGAGGAGGTTTTGGAACAAAGTGATAAACTAAACAGTAATAAGTCACCAGGACCAGATGGCATTCACCCACGAAGGAACTCAAATGTGAAATTGCAGAGCTACTAACTGTGGTTTGTAACCTATCATTTAAATCAGCTTCTGTACCAAATGACTGGAGGATAGCTAATGTGACACCAATTTTTTTTAAAAGGGCTCCAGAGGCGATCCCAGCAATTACAGGCTGGTAAACCTGACTTCAGTACCAGGCAAACTGGTTGAAACTACAGTAAAGAACAGAATTATCAGACACCTAGATTAACATGATTTGTTGGGGAATAGTCAACATGGCTTTTGTAAAGGGAAATCATGCCACCAATCTACCAGAATTCTTTGAGGGGGGTCAACAAATATGTGGACAAGGGGAAATCCAGTGGATACAGTGTACTTAGATTTTCAGAAAGCCTTTGACAAGGTCCCTCACCAAAGGCTCTTAAGCAAAGTAAGCTATCGTGGAATATGAGGGAAGGTTCTCTTATGGATTGGTAACTGATTAAAAGATAGGAAACAAAGGGTAGGAATAAATGGTCAGTTTTCAGAATGGAGAGAGGTAAATAGTGGTGTCCCCCAGGGGTCTGTACTGGGACCAGTCCTATTCAACATAAATGAACTGGAAAAAGGGGTAAACAGTGAGGTGGCAAAATTTGCAGATGATACAAAACTACTCAAGATAGTTAAGTCCAAAGCAGACTGCAAAGAGCTACAAAGGTATCTCACAAAACTGGGCAACAAAATGGCAGATGAAATTCAATTTTGATAAATGCAAATTGGAAAATATAATCCCAACTACCCATATAAAATGATGGGGTCTAAATTAGCCGTTACCACTCAAGAAAGATCTTGGAGCCATTGTGGATAGTTCTCTGAAAACATCCACTCAATGTGCAGTGGCACTCAAAAAAGCGAGCAGAATGTTCATTGCCTCTATATAAATCCACGGTATGCCCACATCTTGAATACTGTGTGCAGAGGTGGTCACGCCATCACAAAAAAAGATACGTTGGAATTGGAAAAGGTTCAGAAAAGGGCAATAAAAATAATTAGGGGTATGGAGCAGCTTCCATATGAGGAGAGATTAATAAGACTGGGACTTTTCAGCTTGGAAAGAGATGACTAAGGGGCATATGATAGAGGTCTATAAAATCATGACTGGTGTGGAGAAAATCAATAAGGAAGTGTTATTTCCTCCTTCTCATAACACAAGAACTGGGGGTCACCAAATGAAATTAATAGGCAGCAGGGTTAAAACAAAGAAAAGGAAGTTTTTCCTCACACAACGCACAGTCAGTCTGCGGAACTCTTTGCCAGGGGATATTGTGAAGGCCAAGACTATAACAGGGTTCAAAAAAAGAACTAGATAAGTTCATGGAGAATAGGTCCATCAATGCTATTAGCCAGGATGGGCAAGAATGGTGTCCCTAACCACCATTTGCCAGAAGCTGGGAACAGGCAACAGGGGATGGATCACTTGAGGATTCCCTGTTCTGTTCATTCCCTCTGGGGACTTGGCATTGGCCACTGTTGGAAGACAAAAGAAATCTGATGAGGTTCAATAAGGATAAGTGCAGGGTCCTGCACTTAGGACGGAAGAACCCAATGCACAGCTACAGACTAGGGACCGAATGGCTAGGCAGCAGTTCTGCGGAAAAGGACCTAGGGGTGACAGTGGACGAGAAGCTGGATATGAGTCAGCAGTGTGCCCTTGTTGCCAAGAAGGCCAATGGCATTTTGGGATGTATAAGTAGGGGCATAGCGAGCAGATCGAGGGACGTGATCGTTCCCCTCTATTCGACATTGGTGAGGCCTCATCTGGAGTACTGTGTCCAGTTTTGGGCCCCACACTTCAAGAAGGATGTGGATAAATTGGAGAGAGTCCAGCGAAGGGCAACAAAAATGATTAGGGGTCTGGAACACATGACTTATGAGGAGAGGCTGAGGGAGCTGGGATTGTTTAGCCTGCAGAAGAGAAGAATGAGGGGGGATTTGATAGCTGCTTTCAACTACCTGAAAGGGGGTTCCAAAGAGGATGGCTCTAGACTGTTCTCAATGGTAGCAGATGACAGAACGAGGAGTAATGGTCTCAAGCTGCAGTGGGGGAGGTTTAGATTGGATATTAGGAAAAACTTTTTCACTAAGAGGGTGGTGAGACACTGGAATGCGTTACCTAGGGAGGTGGTAGAATCTCCTTCCTTAGAGGTTTTTTAAGGTCAGGCTTGACAAAGCCCTGGCTGGGATGATTTAACTGGGAATTGGTCCTGCTTCGAGCAGGGGGTTGGACTAGATGACCTTCTGGGGTCCCTTCCAACCCTTATATTCTATGACAGGATACTGGGCTAGATGGACCTTTGGTCTGACTCAGTAGGGCTGTTCTGTTTTCTTCAAAATGTTTTGTGGGAACATAAGAAGTTTTTCCATTTTTCGTCAAAAGTTTTTGCAAAATGTTTCAGAGTTTCACTGAAAAACCTGAAACCCAACAATTTTTTTGGTTTTCAACAACCAAAATTTGATATTCTGTTGTGGACAACCAGAAAATGTTGTTTTTCAGTTGCAAAAAATCAGAAGAAATTGCAGCTTCTGGGAAGGATTCCATTCAGCTAAAGAGACATTTTTCAACATTGTTATTTGACCAGCTGTCCAGCACTGTTCCCAGTGCAGGGCTGTGGCAAGAGACCACAAATGAGTCTTTTCTACCAGTAATGTTTGTCTTTCCTTCCTTAGTCGACTTTCCTCAGTGTGGCAAAGTCATTCCACATCTGGAAGTAACAAGGGATTGTATTCAGAGAGGGAAAAGGAATACATGTATTGTGGTCCCGCTCCCTGATATTTGTCTTTTTTAAATTCTGTAGTCCCTATGTTAAGTGATCTTAAAAGGGGCAGTGATACCCGGCCATGCCACTGTCAGAATGACAACAAGCAGACTCTCTAGAGAGTCAAATTCTGCTTTCATCTATATGGGTGTAAATTCAAAGTAACTCCATTGGCTTCAGCTGAGTTACTGCACGCTTACATCGCTGGAACAGAGCGGAGTTTGGCCCATGCTCTGCAGATGGGAGCTCAAGTCTCTTGCTTGGCTCTGCTTATCAGCTCAGCCCTATTTCCAGCGCCAAGAGCAATTTTCTGCTCCTCCCTCTGCTGGCCTCAGATCAGGGGAGCCATGAATGTGGTTGTGAAATCAGCCCAGAAGAGTCACATTACTTTTAGGAGCAGAAACATCTGGTCAAATCTCATCCACTCATTTCAGAGGAGCCTGGGGTCCATTGGCTGTCAGCTATTTCCCAGGTTAGAGGATATGTTTTACCAGCTAAACCAAAAAAGAAAGTCACAGGCCAAAGAGAAACCACGTTAAAAAGTTATGGAACATCCTACTAACCTGATGAAATCCAAGATAGTCTTGAATCGTGTGCGAGGAATAAAATATCAACCCTTCAGACGTCACCACCAGCACAAAGCCATGAAGAGCCTAGGAGAGAGGGGGACAGAGTGAGCACCAGAACTCAGCTCCCAACCCAACACCACTGCATGTGGATGGAAACCAAGTGAGTGGAGAGATCTCATTCTGTCTGGAGGTCAGGTTCCCCTGTCAGCTTTCTGATGGTCAGCTGCTGGTGGGGATAAGAAAGTAGTGGGGGTAGGATGACAGCTTAGACAGCTGTGAGAGACCCCGAGGAAAAGTTGCAGCTAGGGACGTAGGGAAATAAGGATTTATAGTCAGGACCAAATGATCGGAAGGGGGAAGGAGGTGTTTTCTGAAAATCTGAGAGGGCGGGTGGACAAGGAATGTCAGCCACAGGGAAACAAGGTTATGGAGATTAGCTACATGCAGAAAGGTGCAGGATTTGATCTCTTGTTAACACTATACATGAACTAGATATTAGTGACATTGGTAATCAAGGCTAGCCACCGGCTGGCTGCTATCAGCTGGCCATTTACTGGAGCACCCTGGTAGGAGTGGGCCTGGAGGAGGGTAGACTAGTTTGGGGAAGGCGTTCCATGCCAAAGAATCTTTGTATGGAGGTTAGCTCCGATGACACAGAGCTAGGTTTGCCAACTTCGGTTGGACGCATTCCTGGAGATTTCATCACATAACATAATCTTTAATTCCTGGAGACTCCCAGACAATCCCGGGGTGCTGGCAATCCTACACAGAACTCCCAGCTTGTGGCAGCTGCCTGTTGCTATGATATCAGCAATAGGTCCTTTTCTGTGGGGTGCACTGGTGGCATCCTGCATGTGACAGAGGAATGGCTAATAAAATAAGGACCTCACAGACCACTGCTGGTGCACCAGCAATGGGGTGGAACAGTCTAGGGGGTCTCCCTACCAGGGGGATTTTAGATTCACGTTAGTTATTTCCTGGGGGTTGATTTGAATCTGTCTGGATTTTGCAGCATTCTCCTTGGGGAGAATGGTGTCCCTGAGGCAAAACCATTGTCAGGTCGCGGTGGGCTCTGAGTCCCAGAGCCACCCCTCACTGACTGCAAATGAGGCAGAGGAGAGACTGGGATTTCATTTTCTACAGAGACAGTTTAAGAGGCGGATTGTGAATCGCGAATCATTAGCAAAACTGAGCAAGCAGATACAAACAAAACAAAGTAGTGGTGATCTGAGAGCCGAGATCTATAAAGTGTGAGTTTCATGTAATACGGTAGCTGACTACTCTGGGAGAGAACTGAAAACCGAATGTCTGGAATAGTCTTCAGGAGGCCAAATAAAGCAGTATTTCAAAATGAAGCATTGTTTTCCTTTCTCCCAGATTTACTGAGCAGGCACAAATCCTGCCTGTGACGGCGTGCGACTCACTACTGAGGCGCCTCCTGCTGGCTGTCCTGGAGATTAGCTCTGTTCGCTAATGCGCTAATCTCTAGTGGTGCCTCATCGCTGTCACTTTTGTTCCAGGACCCACGCCACGCCCAGGACTGCAGCATCCTTTTCAGTGACACGGCCCTCCGGCTGTGCCACACTCTGTGTTTCCCCCTTTTGAGGGATCTGCAATCTCTGTCCAGCCACTTCCCTCAGTGGCAAATGCAGTCCATTGTCCCAGGGCTGCTTCCCATGAGGCTCCTGCACCCTCTTCTGCCCTTACCTCCAGGCCTCAGCCTACAGGCCCTAGCAGCCAGCCAGGAGCTCTCTAGCTCCCCTGGTCTCTGCTTGCAGCACTGCTTTGTCCTAGGTACTGGCACTCCTTCCTCCTGCTAGGAGCCTGGCCTTCTCCCCTCAAGCTACTTCTCTCCAGTCAGCTACTTAACTCTGCTCAGCCCTGCAGCCCTTCTTATATGAGCCTACCGGGCTGTGATTGGCTACTCCTCTCAGCCCCTTTCTATTTGGCTGCCTCCAGTGCAGCCTCCCTAGGGCTGCTTTTAATCCCTTTTCTGCCAGTGAGGGGCAGCTGCCCTATCACATCGCCTTTTCACACATACAAGTGCTGAAGCCTTTCCAATGCTGGCAGAGCTGTGCTGACCTAGCAAACACAGAAAGTGCCTTCTGCTGTGTTTTGTCACATTTATGAACCTATTCTGTCTAGTTGCTTAACTGTATCCTAATTAGATCTGATCAAACATCAGGAAATTCAGATGTTTCAATGACTGTTTTCATCCTGAATCGAGACAATAAGTTGTTTTGTTTTGACATTTCTGATTGAAGTGAAACATTTTGACATTCCTGAGTTGAAGTAATATTTCATTTCAGCTTGGTTCAACACTGAACTATGCCTGAATTGTCACAGTGCCTCAAGGGAGCTGTAGTTTAGGTTCCTCACTCTCCCCATTTTCCCATATGGACGGCATCTCCTGTGATACAATGTGGCCCTGGTATGTACATGAGGTACAGAGCACTTTAAGCCAGAGGTGCATCAGGGTGCAGGGTGAATCAACCAGGACACCTCAAGCAGACACAGATTAATATTGAACTGACCTGAAATGAAGTGTTTCAATTTGGTTCTCAACAAGCTAGAATGTCTCAATCTGAGATAAAGAAATACTTATTTGGGGCCAGGTTTTTTTTTTTTTTTTTTTTTTTTAACTTTAACAAAAATCAAAGTTTTCTGGGGGAAATTTCAATTTTGTGGCAACCAAGTTTTCAGCAACTTCAATAATTAATCCATTAATAATTTTCCAAATGCACAATATCAGAGAGCTGAATATTTTCAGCTTGTATTTCACATATTCTGATTAGGACGCTCATACTTCTCTTTCTTGTAAGTGGACAGCAGTAGAGATAGACTTAAGTGCACTGATAGCAGAATTACTCCCTTCTTTCTCTCTCTCCCCAGAGATCTCACAACCTCCTAAAGCCCAAACATGGCATATAATGGGGGACAAAGGCCCAAAATAGAAGCATAAAAAATTATTAGTGTGAGCTAGGGCTGTCAATTAATCACAGTTAACTCAAAAAAATTAATCGCGATTAATCGCACTGTTAAACAATAGAATACCAATTGAAGTTAAATTTTTGATGTTTTTCTACATTTTCAAATTTATTGATTTCTATTACAACACAGAATAGAAATTATACAGTGCTCACTTTATACTGTTATTTTTTATTACAAATATTTGCTCTGTAAAAATGATGAAGAAATATTTTTCAATTCACTTAATTCAAGTACTGTAGTGCAATCTCTTTATTGTGAAAGTGTAACTTACAAATGTAGATTTTTTTTGGTTACATAATTGCACTCAAAAACAAAACAATGTAAAACTTTAGAGCCTACAGGTCCACTTAGTCCTACTTCTTGTTCAGCTGATTGCTAAGACAAACAAGTTTGTTTACATTTACATTTGCTAAACATTCATATGTCCCTTCATGCTTTGGCCACCATTCTAGAGGACATGCTTCCATGCTGATGATGCTCATTAAAAAAATAATGCGTTAATGAAATTTGTGACTGAACTCCTTGGGGAAGAACTGTATGTCTCCTGTTCTGTTTTATCCACATTCCGCCATCTATTTCATGTTATAACAGTCTTGGATGATGACCCAGCATATATTTATTTTAAGAACACTTTCACAGCAGATTTGACAAAACACAAAGAAGATACCAATGTTAGATTTCTAAGGATAGATACAACACTTGACCCAAGGTTTAAGAATCTGAAGTGTCTTCCAAAATCTGAGAGGGACGAAGTGTGGAGCATGCTGTCAGATGTCTTAAAAGAGCAACACTCTGATGAAGAAACTACAGAACCTGAACCACCAAAAAAGAAAATCAACCTTCTGCTGGTAGCATCTGACTCAGATGACGAAAATGAACATGCATTGGTCCGCTCTGCTTTGGATTATTATTGAGCAGAACCCGTCATCAGCATGGACGCTGTCAAGGTTCCTCCCCCACTCTGAACTCTACGGTACAAATGTGGGGACCTGCATGAAAACCTCCTAAGCTTACTTTTACCAGCTTAGGTTAAAACTTCCCCAAGGTACAAATTAATTTTACCCTTTGTCCTTGGAATATCCACTGCCACCACCAAACTCTAACTGGGTTTACTGGGAAACACAGTTTGGACACGTCCTTCCCCCCAAAATCCTCCCAACCCTTGCACCCCACTTCCTGGGACAGGTTTGGTAAAAATCTTCACCAATTTGCATAGGTGACCACAGACCCAAACCCTTGGATCTGAGAACAATGAAAAAGCATTCCGTTTTCTTACAAGAAGACTTTTAATAGAAGTAAAGAAATCCCCTCTGTAAGATCAGGATGGTAGATACCTTACAGGGTTATTAGATTCAAAACATAGAGAATCCCTCTAGGCAAAACCTTAAGTTACATAAAAAACACAGACAGGAATAGTCATTCTATTCAGCACAGTTCCTTTCTCAGCCATTTAAAGAAATCATAATCTAACACATACCTAGCTAGATTACTTACTAAAGTTCTAAGACTCCATTCCTGTTCTATCCCCGGCAGAAGCAGCATACGGACAGACACAGACCCTTTGTTTCTCTCCCTCCTCCCAGCTTTTGAAAGTATCTTGTCTCCTCATTGGTCATTTTGGTCAGGTGCCAGCGAGGTTACCTTTAGCTTCTTAACCCTTTACAGGTGAGAGGATTTTTCCTCTGGCCAGGAGAGATTTTAAAGGGGTTTACCCTTCCCTTTATATTTATGACAGATGCACATCCTCTGGAATGGTGGTTGAAGCATGAAGGGACATATGAATCTTTAGCGCATATGGCATGTAAATATCTTGCGATGCCAGCTACAACAGTGCCATGCGAACACCTGTTCTCACTTTCAGGTGACATTGTAAACAAGCTGTGGGCAGCATTATCTCCTGCAAATTGTAACCAAATTTGTTTGTCTGCGCAATTGGCTGAAGTAGGACTGAGTGGACTTGTAGGCTCTAAAGTTTTACATGGTTTTATTTTTGAATGCAGTTATTTTTTGTACATAATTCTATATTTGTAAATTCAACTTTCATTATAAAGAGATTGTACTACAATCCTTATATTAGGTGAATTGAAATAAAC